TCAGGTGATCCGCCCACCTCAGCCTTCCAGAGTGCTGGAATTACAGGCATGAGCCACCATGCCCAGCCTTCCCCATTGACTTTCTATACTATCTGCATCATTCTGTAGAACAAAGGAAAGGAAAATAAGATACCAAAAAGCTGAACTAATCCATGATTATAAACACTATTTCAGTGAAAATGTTCATCATTAAGGGACTAGGTAACAATAATGGTATATCCATTCAGTGGAATATCATGCAGGCATTAAAGATGGTGATGTAGGCTGAGTGTAATAGGTCATGCCTGTAATTCCAGCACTTTGGGAGGCCAAGGTGGGAGGATTACTTGATGCTGGGAGTTTGAGGCCAGCCTGGGCAAGATAGTATGGCCTCAACTCTATAAAAAGTTGAAAAATTAGCCAGGTGTGGTGGTATGTGCCTATGGTCCCAACTACTCTGGAAGCTGAGGCAGGAGGATTGCTTGAGCCCGGGAATTGGAGGCTGCACTGAGCCACTGTACTCCAGCCTGGGTAACACAATGAGACCCTGCCTCACACACACACACACAATTAAAAATGGTGATGTATATCTTTATGTATTGATACAGAACAATGCTCATGATGTAGTGTCAATTAGAAAATGCAGGGTACACATAGTCTATGAAGTATTATTTTATTATTGATTTATTTGTTTATTTTAGACAGGGTCTCACTCTGTCACCCAAACTGGAGTACAGTGGCCTGATCTCAGGCCACTGCAGCCTCCAACTTACCAGGCTCGGGTGGTCCTCTACCTCTGCCTTGTTAGTAGCTTGGACTGCAGGCATACGCTAACATGCCTGGATAATTTTTCTATTTTTTGTAGGGATAGTATTTCGCTATGTTGCCCAGGCTGGTCTTGTAACTCCTGGGCTCAAGTGATCTTCCTGCCTCAACCTCCCACAGTGCTGGGATTATAGGCATGAGCCACCACTCTGGCTGAAAGTTTTATTTTTAAAAAATAGTTATGTATTCCATCAGATGTGCATGAAGGGACATTGGCCAGGAAAGGGAAAGGAACCAACCCTTATTGGAAGCTTATCCAGTGCTGTAAGGCCAGACACTGTTCTGGATACTCCGTAGCCTCCTGTGGCTAATGCCTTGTGATGCAGGGGCTGAGGCCCTAGGTTCAAATCCCTGCTCTACTCCTTGGCCACGTGATGTTGGGGCAGTTGCTGAACATTTCTAAGTCTCAGTTTCCTCTGGTTCAATGGTGATAATAAGAGTAGTGCTTTACAAACGATTGTGAGGATGGATTAAACGAATGCACATTAGGCTGTTTCACGAGTGTCTGCACCTTAGCCTACCAGGTAGCTGGGACTACAGGCGGGTGCCACGACACCTTGTTCATTTTTTTTTTTTTTTTTTTTTTTTAAGTAGATACAGTTGCCCAGGCTGGTCTCGAACTCCTGAGCTCAAGCAATTCACCCACCTCAACCTCCCAAAGTGCTGGGATTACAGACCACAGAGTCTGGCTCAGATTTTTTTTTCTTATTTTTTTCCCATTCTTTTCTTCTTGCTTAACCTACTTGTCCCTTTCCCTAACTTCTCCCAATTTTAAAACCTTTTAAAGTGGACTTTGTTTAGTATTTTGTTTATTTAGTGGAATCACAGCACAATCAAAACAGCATTAAACCCAGACCTGTGTGTTAAGGTTGTAGACCAACTTGTGATATCAGAGATCAGATTTATAAATGGACAGGAGTTGATAACCTCAGGCAGGTAAGCCAGAATTAACAACGGGAAGATCTGCAACCAGTGCTTGAGAGGTTATTTAATCCTGTGACTTATTCATTATCAGTCTTTATTCATCTGCAATATAGATCCCACGTTCTGGCAAAGAATCGTGATGCTAACAAACCAAGCGACCTGCCAGATATGCAGATCCTCACCACATTGTTAAAGGGCACCCATTCTGAATAATGTATCTTGTGAGCTCATGCCTTATGAAATTTCCTGTCATAGAACTGCATAGCGCTTAGGAGGGTTTGCTTCTGAAAAGCCATCTCTGATAATCAGTGGTGTGGCTTGGCTTTTGTGGCTGTGTTCAGGAAGATGAAATGACCTTCAGAGAAGGGGATGCCAAAGTCTCCATTCTTTCAGATACTTACTGTCTAATATTTAAGATTCAGGCTTTGTAAACAATTATACTTTTTTTTTTTTTTTTTTTGAGACGGAGTTTCGCTCTTGTTACCCAGGCTGGAGTGCAATGGCGCGATCTCGGCTCACCACAACCTCCGCCTCCTGGGTTCAGGCAATTCTCCTGCCTCAGCCTCCTGAGTAGCTGGGATTACAGGCACGTGCCACCATGCCTAGCTAATTTTTTGTATTTTTTGTAGAGACGGGGTTTCACGATGTTGACCAGGATGGTCTCGATCTCTTGACCTCGTGATCCACCCGCCTCGGCCTCCCAAAGTGCTGGGATTACAGGCTTGAGCCACCGCGCCCGGCAACAATTATACTTTTAAACTAAACTGCAGAGGCTGGGTGCAGTGGCTCATGCCTGTAATCCCAGCACTTTGGGAGGCCGAGGCGGGTGGATCACGAGGTCAGGAGTTCGAGACCAGCCTGACCAACATGGTGAAACCCTGTCTTTATTAAACAAATCAAAACAAAACAAAACAAACAAAAAAAAAGCTTTGTGCAGTTGCAGTATTGTAGCCAATAAGGTTTATCTGAGACCTGATTATTGTTAATTGAAAACTTTTCCCGATACCCCGCCATGACGACTTGAAATATAGTCGGAGTTGGCAGTTTTTGGCAGTCTCTACAGAGACTGAATCATAAAACAAACAAACAAACAAACAAAACTAAACTGTATTGTCTTATACCTTTATTGCTGTAGTTTCTGATCGAGAAGTGCTGGTCATTCACTCATTCATGAACAAACATAGATGGATGCTTCCAGGTCAGCTCTGTGTCTATTAAGATTTAAAACATGTCCTTAAAGAGCATGTTGTTTACTAGGGGAGCCAGACTATTAAACAACTAAAAAGAATAGAGCGGCTGGGCAAGGTGGCTCACACCTGTAATTCCAGCACTTTGGGAGGCCGAGACGAGCAGATTGCCTGAGGTCAGGAGTTTGAGACCAGTCTGGCCAACATGGTGGAACCCTGTCTCTACTAAAGAAGACAAAAAATTAGCCAGGCGTGGTGGCTCGTGCTTGTAATCCCAGCACTTTGGGAGGCTGAGGCGGGTGGATCATGAGGTCAGGAGATTGGGAGCATCCTGGCCAACAGATGAAACCCCGTCTGTACTAAAATACAAAAAATTAACCAGGCGTGGTGGTGTGTGCCTGTAATCCCAGCTACTCAGGATGCTGTGAGGCAGGGGAATTGCTTGAACCACGGAGGTGGAGGTTGCAGTGAGCCGAGATTGTGCCACTGCACTCCAGCTTGGGTGACAGAGTAAGACTCCGTCTCAAAAAAAAATAAAGAATAGAACATAATAAATAGTATATAAACAGATAAAGAGCTGGAGAAATACAAAAGAGAGAGTCATTTTATAGACTGGAAGGTCTAGTGGGCTCTTAAAGAGTGCGTGAGTTTTCTAGGTGGTCAGGGGTGGGAAGGGCATTTCCCATGGAGCACATGCACAGAGGCGTGATGGCAGGAGAGAGTACGACATATCCAAGGATGGTGGTGGGTGGGGTGGCAGGGGGCGGGGACTCAGGGTGACTGGAGCAGGTGAATGTGGTAGGGAGCGGCCAAATATGAGGCTGGAAGAACAGGTTAGGCAGGCCAGAGTGTGTTCAGAAGAAAGGAAGTAGAGGCTGGAGTGCTGGAGAGAAGGTGTGGAATAATCTCTCCATCCCGCACTTTGGGAAAGCCTTCTCATTCCCATCAATACTTCCTGACCTAGCTGCTACCCAGGAAAAATCGACCCCTCTCCTGTTTTCCCTCCCCATGTTGTGTTTTTGTTCATAGGGTTAGCCACTTAACCCATTGCTTTTGTTTTTGTTTGTTTGTTTTTGAGACAGGGTCTCCTCTGTTGCCCAGGCTGGAGTGCAGTGGCACTATCATGCAGCTTCAGCCTCCCCAGGCTCAGGTGATCCTCCTGAGTAGCCTCCAGAGTAGCTGGAACTACAGGAGCGCATCAATACGCTTGGCTAATTTTGGTATGTTTTGTAGAGATGGGGTTTCGCCATGTTGCCCAGCTGGCCTCGAACGCCTGGGTTGGAACTCCTGGGCTCAAGCAGTTGGCCAACTTTGGCCTCCCCAAGTGCTGAGATTACAGGCATGAGCCACAGCCCATTGTTTTCTGGTTAGTTTAGATGACTTTTCCTGAGGGAAGGGATTTTTGTTTTTCCTAGGTTACTTAGTTACCTAATAGAAGCCAAAAACAGGTTTCTTAAGTTAGGCTATTCTGTAGATTAATATATCAACTGAGCTGTCATACAACTTTAAAATTGTCAAGATTCTATGAGTCTAAATAACAGCATTTCCCACACTGTCCTAATTTTACTTACGGTAGTACCCCCTTATCGATGTTTTCACTTTCCATTTTATCCAAGGTCAACCATGGTCAAAGCTATTAAATTAAACATTCTGGAAATAAACAATTCATAAGTTTTAAATTGTGTGCTGTCCTGGGTCATGTGACGAAATCTTGTGCTATCTTGCTCCCTCCTGCCCAGAACGGAAATCATTCCCTTGTCCAGCATATCCAGGCCGAATATACCTGGCCCTGTGAGTCACTTAATAGCCATCTCTGTTATCAGGTTGACTATTGGGGTATTGCAGTGCTTGTGACCAAGCAACCCTTATTTTACTTCATAATGGCCCCAAACTGCAAGAGTTCTGTGCCTAATTTATAAATTAAACTTAATCATGGGGGTGTGTGTATATATATATATATATATATATATATATATATATGAAAAAGTATATATAGGGTTCGGTTTCAGGCATCCACTGGGGGTCTTGGAATGTATCCCCTGTAGATAAGGGAGGGCCGCTGTAGTCTACATGGCAGAAGTTCTTCTCTTTGACACTGAAGAACTAACTCTTTGGGAACCATAGCTTGTTTGGCATGAATGACTTTTTTTTCCATAAATGTAATTTGTTTAAAATTCTTTGTCTAAGAAAGCGAAATGTTCACATTTTGAAACTCCAAAAATAAAACACTAGAGACATAATGCCAAAACAGTGATTTGAATCAGAAATGCTTTATGAATCCAGCATCTCAGTGAGAATTAATTATGGAATCAGATCATGGTTAGTAGGCATTCATTGTTTTAAGGCAATTGATGGCAGTGTTGAGGAACCTAAATAATGAAATATTTTAAACATCCTCTAGTGTTTTTCACATTTCTAATGAGTTGTGATGACCAAATGTTCCTTCTGTGCAAGATGAAATATGAATGATTTTATCTTAAGTTTTAAAGTTCTAATGAAGAATATGATTCTTATTCCTTTGGTGGATAGAGATGTTCTGACAAATCAGATCACATTGATCATGTGCTGTTTTATTTGAGATTAATTTTAGAAATAAGTGCTCTTCATCTACCATGGAATTAGTAGTAAAAATTTTCTGAGACCACATTTACTGAGATAGTTTCCTGCAAATTTCTACAGAGAAGTATAAGATTGAATAAGACCGTTAAAGACTCTCTAGTTTCTGTTAAAGTGGTTTCTCAAGCCTGAGATGCAGACTTGGAGTGAGGAAACTTCAGGAAACTCCATTTCACAATCCTTGTTGATCTCTCTAGCAAGGCTTAGCAGTATTAATTTCAGAGGTGCTTTGATTTTGCTTGATTGCTTTTTTTCTTATTTGGTAATGTATGCTGTTTATTTCATATATAAGATATCAGGCATTTAGTAATGTAACTGATCAGTGTTTCAACATAGTTTATGATCTACTTAGCAACTTAATAGTAAGCTTTTGAGGTTAAGTTCTAGATATAAACTGTTACATAATTTATTGCTTATTTTTTCAACAGATGTGAATTATTAAAAAGAAAATGGCCCAACGGAGCACTATATTTCCTTCTCGTGTCACCAAGGAAAGGTATAATATATGGAAAATATGCATCTAAGGTATACTTTTCCTTTCCACTCATCCCATGGGGGCTGCTCGTGGGTGTGATAGTTGTAAATGAAAGCTTGGGCTGTTGCATTATCCAAGAATGGTTTTGTTCAAGGGCAAGAGAAACACTATTGTGTCCTCTAATTTTCAATTTATAGGATACTGTAGACCACTCAGTGATCCTAAGAAGTAGAGATTTCACAGTAGTCTTATAGTAGGGTTGAATTTCTTATTGAGAGTAAAATATAACTCTGGGGGCTTGAGGCTAACATCCCTGTTAAGTTTTTTAAATCACAAGTTGCAGAGTAGGGGCCTGTGAGCCAAAATTGGCTCATGAAAGTACATTGCTTGGCCTGCATGTTCTTAAATACTTTTTTTGGAGACAGGGTCTCTCTGTTGCCCAGGCTGGAGTGCAGTGGCACAGTCACAGCTCCACGCAGCCTTGACCTCCTGGGCTTGGGTGGTCTTCCATCTAGTCTCCTGAGTAGCTGGGACTGTAGGTATGTGCCACCATGCCCAGCTAATTTTTAAATAGTTTTTTGTAGAAACAGAGTCTTGCTGTGTTGCCCTGGCTGATCTTGAACTCCTGGGCTCAAGTGATCCTCCCGCCTCAGCCACCCAAACTGTTGGGATTACAGATGTGAACCCCTGCACTGGCCTTAAATACTTTTTAAATGAATCATTAACATTTTAAAATCAGGCAATTTCACATACAAGTCTGGATTTGCTAGCTCTTCTTGAAATATCAGATGATCTTGAAAAAGGGACCTGAAATCCCTGATGGTTACTCATGGTTGGAGCAGAACTGTGGCTCCCTTTAGCTGAGAAATGCTCTTTCTAGTTCTGCAAAGTCCCCAACACTCCCTATTGCCTCATTTGTAGTATGCTTCACTCATTTGTGTCGCCTGCCTGACCCATGTAGGCACTGAGTTTGTAACCACTGTTTCAGAGAGGAAGGAGGAGGAGAGCATGTCAGAGACGTTGTTAATTAACTTGATATTTATAACATACATCATATTGGGGAGACATATCTGTGTGCCCAATTGTGCCAGCCTCCTGCTCTTGGAAGCCATGGAGACCACTTCTAGCACAGTTAAGTCTGTGGGCATGATTATTTAAAGATCTTTCCTAGCTCATGAAGAAAACTCTTTTAGGCAGAAATCCTGTCTCAAACCCTATTTAGCTTGTAGGTATAGATAATTTGTATTTCCACACTTCTCTGGGAAGTTTTAAATCTGGCTTTTTTTGGTGAGGGGTGACAGAACTCTTGTTGTCTAGGCTGGAGTGCAATGGTGTGATCTTGGCTCACTGCAAACTCTGCCTCCCCGGTTCAAGCAATTCTCCTGCCTCAGCCTCCCGAGTAGCTGGGTTTACGGGCGTGAGCCACGATACCTGGCTAATTTTGTATTTTTAGTAGAGATGGGGTTTCTCCATGTTGGTGAGGCTGGTCTCGAACTCCTGACCTCAGGTGATCCACCCACCTTTGCCTCCCAAAGTGCTGGCATTACAGGTGTGAGCCACCGCGCCTGGCCTGAATTTGGCTTTAAAAATTATTTTTTCCCAATTAACAACCCTCATGGTTCTCTTCTGTAGGAGAGTGAGAACCATGCCCCGACACAGCCAGTCCCTGACCATGGCACCATACTCATCTGTAAGCCTCGTGGAGCAACTGGAAGACAGGATCCTCTGCCATGAGAAAACCACTGCCGCCCTTGTAGAGCACGCCTTTCGGATTAAAGATGACATTGT